TAAAATTCCGTCCCAAGCTGATTTGGGCTTAATACGTGGCTGGGCCTATTAATCGTCGGCTTAATAACCGACGATTACTGTACAAGTCAAATTCAACAAATTTTGCTAGTCTCGTGGTCTTTGGCTTGTTCAACTTTTTTCCGCGAAAGCAAGGCATTTTAGTTGGCAAAATATTTGGTCTGGCTTACGTAGCGGACGCAGCCAGTGAGGAGCAAATGCAGATGCACCGAAAAGCGCTATTTGTTATTGCATCTGGTGTATTCCGTTTATCTTGGTGTTAATCTGCCATCTAACCTCTCATTTACTCTTCATATTGAAGACCTCTCTATTAAAATTCGTAAACTTGTGTATCCGCTGTTTGCGTTCGTATCGCACATCGCAAGCCCTAATCTGGCGATTTATAGATGCCTTCATTCTCTCCCCCCCCGCCTCCATCGCTTTTAAACGTATCCTCTGAATGCTCTTCAGCTGCGGTGTCTCCTATATTTTTCTATTACTGATATTATAATACAGCGACACTTTCATACGGTCAAGCAATTTGCCGATCGCATCCTTAGTGAGGTCGAGCGTCCTCTCCACTCTGAACTAATGGCTGCGAAGTCTTCCTGTACGGTGCGCGAAAACTTCTGTCACACGTCTTGCTGTGCATTGGCATATCAGCTCTCCATCCTCCCATTCCTAGCACGCTTCCTCACATGTGAGGAAACGCCAATTCAGGCGTTGAAATCAAACTTGTCTCCATAACAGATGTGGATATTCAGAAGATGAGTTGGCGAACATACGTTTGTTTTCGATAAAATCTCGTCACGCCTTTACATTTATATGGTAATTAAGTAAACTATGCGGGTTGGTAGAAAAAAAATAGTATGGTTGTCAGGGCAGGGGGGGAATCAGGGTCAAAATCTGATCAGCGTTAGGGGGAACGGGTAGTCGGTCGAGATGACAAGCTGCTGACTTTTGGATTAGCGGCTTTTGCCTATGGTAACTGCGGCGCCTCGACGAAGTTCTATTGGGTGCACAGGACCGGTCGGCGTAGCCTGATGGCGGCCGCTTCTGCCGTA